GGGGGGAGGGGTTTGTGCGGGGAGAAGGGTGCAACATGAATGAATGGAATAAAATAAAAAAAAAAAACAACCCCAAAAAAACAAACCTTTTCAATGATATTTACTACCAAAATGCTTGTAGGCTTACCTGTTGTCGCTGAAATCGTGGTGGTAAAGACTTCTGAAACTGCTTGAAATATCCAGATAATACAGCAGGCCTAGGTTGAGATCCTGATTCTGGTTCTGTTTCATGAGTCACTTGAGTGGTCTCTTTTTCACTGCGATTGCTGTCTTGTCTACTTAAAACTGGCTTGTCCTCTACCCAGAGAAAAGGTTAAAGATCATTGTCTTTATTCATGACACCAATGTTTGAATCCCCGCAGTACCCTCTATATTCCAATACATAATTTTGTAGTTTAATATGAGTTGCTATTAATGAGGTAACATTACAAAATTTTTTTTTAATTTCTTCAGTGGTGGATTCTTAAGCTTAAAGATCATGTCTAACCACACTATGAAAAAATATTTGATTATTTTGTGCTAATTAGCACTTTTCCATCATTTCTATAACATTAAGTACAACTGTCTATATTTATCTGTGGTCCCCTAGGATCTCTGTGAAGATACAAACAATCTATACTTATTTAAAACAGAACCCATTAATTTCTGTAGTTTTCTTTTTCCTGATGGCTTGAGAGACTTCTAGAGAAAACCAACAAAGGCTTAATTCTGAAGAAAGTGTAATCATCAGATATATTTAAATACTGCCTATTTAAAAAGCTGTACTAAAACAAGAAAATCAAACCAACAACACTGCTATTGAGCCATTTTTGAAGGCAGAGAATACTACACATTGCCTCCGTTTCTAAGGCAGTGCATCTTAAAGGAACAGACTGTCTTTCTCCCATGAACCAGTGGGTGGGTCTAAGCTGCCATATTTTGGTTGATGGCCAAATGCCTTAACTGTATTACCCCCAGAGCTGTTTATTTTATACAAACGGTGTCATGTGTGCTATATCCAAAATGAGAACCAATAATTAAAAAAAACAAAAAACAAAAAACAAAACAAACAAGAAAATTTCATTCCAAGGAAAGCTAGTGTAGAGTCTGTTACTGACACAATTATAAAGCTGAGTACATAAAGTGACTGCTCAGATAAAGGAAACATGTTAATGGAAAAATCATGCTATAAAGAAATAATATTCTTAATGCTTATATTATATTCAATCCTACAAATGTTGTAAAAGGGATGACAAAAATATTACAAGGAAGAAAGTGTTAAACAGGCACAACTTTTAAAATCAGATAGTTCTATCTCACTGGTAAATTAAGCTTAATTATCATACCATAACGTGTGAATAAAAATGAAAATGCCACTAAAAAAATAAGAATAACTACTGGTCAAGTTGGAACCAACTCACAGTTTGACCATCCATTTAGTTTTTGAGGCTACAAACTGCAGCAGAGACTGTCAATCGTTTTGCAGCAGGGGTGCTGGAGGATTTCAACCACCAGAGGTAGAGGCCTGGCCTTTGGGTTAGCATAATTGTTCCATAAAAATGAAGGAATTCTGGAAGGATTATTAAAAGACAAACTAGCAGGAGTAGCATCCACTTCTTAAACCACATGCCTCTGGAATTTGGAGAAACGATGAATTGTATAGAAAGGCTTCAGACCTGTTGTTGGTTGGGTCACTGAGTCGTGCTCTACTCGACAGTAATCAACAACTGCAAGTTAAATTAACTTTTAAAATAAAGTTATTGATGCTGTTGGGTCAACTATGACTCACAGGGACCCCACAAACAGTGAAGTGAATCCTGCCCAGCATCTTCATCTCTGACACATTTGAGCCCACCCTTACAGTCACAGCATCAGTCCATTTTATTTAGGGTCTTCCCTCCTTTGCTGATTGTCCATCTTTCCAAACACGAGGCCCTTTTCTAGGAGACTGACCTCTCCTAGCAACATGCCCAAAATATATCAGATAAAGTACAATTACTCAGTGGAAGAACTAGGACTAAATACAAATTTCCTTATTTACATTTTGTAGTCTTATATTATTAATTATTGGTTAGTTATATTCTTTTTTTTTTTAATTTGTATTGTATTATTTTTACGTGTACAGTTAAATCAGAGCTGACTGGTACAGGAGGAGATTGCCACTCCTTCTCCAGCAGAGCATCTGGTGGATTTGAACTGCATACCTCTGGGACTGTAGTGCAGTGTCTTGCCATTAGGCCACCAGAGCTCCCAGTCAGTCGGATTCTTTAAGCTTGATCTATTTTAGCATTTAACACTATGTATTATATTGGGAGTTAAGGTGGTCCAGTGGCCAAGACTTGTGTTGCCAAACCAAATGCCGGTGGTTTGAATCTCATTAAGAAAAAGTGAAGAGAAAAAAAAAATTTTACTTTTTGATATTTATACTAAGGGCCAAGTTTGAAGGTATGAGAGAGGAAAAAAAAGTGCCCAACAAAACATTTGAGCTAACTGCTTTAAAAGATTTAAATACAAATTGAAGCACTAGGGACTTGTAGAAAGCTTATACATGACATTTAGGTCAGAAAAAGGTGGAGGATTTCTGTATCAGAAAACATAAAAAACCAACTACCTATTTCTATTTTAAAATCTTCAGAATGAAGAGGGGTTAGAGAATTATGACATTAAATTCTCTTCCAGTAAATTTTTATAGGTTTTAATACATATGAAGAAATGAGATTTCATCTAGTTATATGTGTGGAATCAGAAAAAAAGAAGTACCAAATTAATGCTTTATATTATGAAGCCAATTCAAATTGAAAGCTAAATAGAATAAAAATTCATGTAATAACTTTAAAGGACTTTCATACCTTTAGGAGCGCTGTTTTCACTTTCTTGTTTTTCTACAACAGGCTCTAAAGCAGGCTCCTTGGGTTCCACCTTTTCCTCCACTTTGGCCCTTTCCTTCATCTCTAGCTCACACTCCTTCTCCTGCTCGCTCATCTTCTGCAGTTCTTTTTCCTTTTCTCGCTGCTGTTCTAGTTCTTGCTCTTTTTCTTGCTTCCTTTCTTTCTCCATTTCTCTTTGTTTTTCCTGCTCCCTCTCCAGTTCTTTTTCCTTTTCCTGTTGCCTCTCTCTCTCTCTCTCTTTCTCCTTTTCTTTCTCTTTCTCTCGCTCTTGTTCTTTTTCAAGCTCCTTCTCACGCTCCCGTTCTTTTTCACGCTCCTTTTCCCGAATTTCCTCTGGAGATGGTTGTTTTTCCACAATGCCAAGTTTCTCATTTAATCTTTTCAGTTTCTCTGCACAAGCAGCCTTCCTTTGTTCTTCCATTCTTCGCTCTTCCTCTTCACGCCGTTTACGAGCCCGCTCCACTGCTGCAGAAACTTCTGACTGTTGTCTTCGTCTTTGCTTCCAAATTTCATCTTCATCAGGCACTTGTTGTTTTGGGGGAAAAGGACCTGGCCTTCCAGATGTTTGTCGATCTGGAGGTGGTGGATGCTAAAACAGTAAAAAAATTCGATGATTATAACCAACAATGTAATTCTGACCAAATACTGACCAAGCATGGAAAGGAGGAGAAAAATATAAGAGAAAGCAAAATGATTTTCCTCATAAAAGCACACACATGGTAAAGATTAATTCAGACTTCTAAAATTTACTAGGTACTAACTGTTTATTGAGCCAAACATTATAGCTTGCTCAGTAGTTACTGAGCAAAACCAGAAACATACATTTCAGAATCCAAATGTACAGGCTTTAAAGATTTAAAAAAACCCCACATATAAAACAAACAAACAAAAACACTTCCTTTAATAGCAGTGTCAAAGAAGAGATGTCTAACAGAGAAAAGGTCACAAAGACCAAACAAGGCAGCACATGAGACCTGAGAAGAGACAACTACTAGAAAAGAGCAGAAGGTCAACATGAAGAGGAGGGGAAAATCCTAGTGATGGCTTCACACAAGAGAAATTAGCTAGTGGCTGCGCAAGGCAGGGCAGTTACCTTCTGAGAGGCTAAGTTTCATTGATTTAACATCCCAAACAGCATGTTATAAAATCACTGCCACTAACTAACAAAACACTAACAAAAGCATGCAAAATATGTGATTTCTCCCACTCTGTCCGCATTACTGACAATATTCAAGTATAGTGACATGATAACCAGGACAAGAAAAATTGCCGAAACGGAAAACTCAGAAGACAATGAGCTCCTCCGGGAGCCTTGATTACACCATGAGGCAGCCAGAGCCATTTTTTAATTTTGGCTGTCAAGAGATTTGGAGGAGATACATGGCACATGCTACCCTTGCTGTCTACAGTTATGTGTCTAGCTGCATTAACCTGTGATTTCCTCCTTCTGTTTCATCCACATTTCACAAATCCATTTCCATTCTGGTTTCACTGTGTGAATGAACCAGGAAGAAATCAGTCTAAAGCCTTGAATAAAAATCAACTGCCCACCTATGTGGTGTTAATTTTTCATCATTGAGCTGTATGTCTATATTCAGGGTAAAAACATATTGCCTTGATTACGATAGCTTTAGCATAAATCATGTTAACCAAGTAGTACAAATCTTCCTTCAATCTTGGTTTAATTCTGGCCATTTTAGGTTGTTTTTTTTTTTTTAATTTTCCAATGAATTTATAGTACCAGTTTGTTTTTTCTAACCCTTCAGAATGCCTTATATTTTAGATAAGTATTGTACTGAACCTACTGAAGTAGCAGAGAGAAACTGCCATTTAATAATAGGGAACTTGCCACGCTTCAATATATTCTATAAATTCATTTAGGTATTCTTTAAATTTTCTCATTTCTGTTTCACAGATTTCAGGAATAGTTATTACATATATTCTTCCTTAGTAATAAATTTTGGAGAATTTAGAAAATTCCACTTGCTTGAATAGCAGCATATAGAAAAATTAAAATTGTTTTTCCTGTCAACCAATATTACTTTTCTTTATGTACTGCTTTGACTAAGTCCATGAGAAGTGATGACAGTTAAACATTCTTGTTGCTGATTTTTGTAAGAAGGTATTAAGTATGATGTGAGCTACAGAAATCTTTTTGTTATGGTATGGCATGTATACTGAATTACTAGAGTTCTGACTTTAAATTACGAATCAGGAAAAAATTTTTGTCATATATGCTTTTTTCTTATAACCCTTTAATATGGTTATCTGTACTGAAGTTACCATTTTTTTTTATCAGGAAAAAAAGTTTAATAGCATCATTAAAAAACATTTTCTTGAATAATGACACAGAGAGATTTTCTAAATATGGCAGAGTACCAGTGGCAATACCTTAAAATCAGTATCTGGAAATGCGTGGACAGCTATACTGCCAGTCTTCATGCTACTGAAAATAATCCACGTATCAGCTTCCACGTGGAGTCATGACTACTGCTTTGTCTGAGCCTAAAAAAATATGGAATGCTTCACGAAATTAGGTGTCATCCCTGCACAGGGGCCACGCTAGTCTTCTCTGTATTGTTTCAATTTTAGTATATGTGCCAATGAAGAGAGCACCCATTTTATTTCTTATCTTGGAAACTTCCCTTTTAATATTGGTCACTGTACTGTTGTTGTGAAGTGCCAGAGTAGATTACAACTTACAGCAACCCAATGAATACTTTGTCATAGCCTGTGAAATCCTTTGAGATGCTCGAGTCCACTGGTATAACTGGGTCAATCCACCTGATGAACTTTCTTTAAAAATAAAAGCCAACTAGCTTTTGGTATCTAATTCCTCTTAATATTTACTGTTTCATGAACTTTCATTATTGTTACTGTTTATCTTCCTTTAGAATTTATTTTTTAAAACAGCTTTCTTTTGTAGATGTTTAGTTTACCGAACATATACCTTCTGTCTGATGCTGTAAATTCTTCTCTAAGAGGCCCCGATGGCTCAGAGGTTAAGAGTCTGATTGCTAAGCAAAATGCAGGCAGTCTGAACCTACCAGGTGTTCTACTTAATGAAGAAGTGGTGGTTTGCTTCTGCACAAATTTATAAAGCTTTGGAAATCTGACAAGGTAGATCTATTGTGCCTGACAGTGTTATTATGAGCTAAATTTGACTCAGTATTCTTTTGTTTGGTTTCTGTCCTTTTAATTTGATTATAAATTGTATTGGGACAAAAATCATATTCATAATAAACATAAAAAGTTTTAAGGGTAAAATTTAAAAAGACTGAAAAGGAAAACACCAGAAAAAATACTGGTGTGGTTTTATATCTAGGAACAAAGAGGGAGAACAGCACAAGAGATCATACATATAGAAGAAGACCTTAAAGATTCTGAGAAGAATCTAATAAACAGTTTTAGAAAGAGCAAACCTACAAGAGAATTTGGAATAAAGGTTGCAGATGCTAAACAGCAAGAATGGGGGGAAAGGACTTACTGCGATAGTTTAAAGGAAATATAACAGGATGGTGACAATGAGCCAGGGAGGGAACACAATCTGAAGGTAAAATTGGCATTAATCTGCTGACACACTAGGCCTGATGCAGTTTAAAAATGGAAGGAAAATCATGAGTATCTCTTAAGTTTTTCATCCTGAGCAAACAGGTAGATGATAATGCCATTAACTGAAATGATGAAAACGGGAAAAGATGAACACTATGTGTATGGGAGTGGGGAAAGTATTATGGTTTTGTGGTTAGGTGCAGTGGAGTTAGTTCTGATCCACAGTGACCCTGTGTTGTATAGCAGCACGTGACACTGCATGGTCCTGAGCTACTCTCACGACTGTTATATCTGAACCCATTGCTGCAGCTACTATGTCAATAAACCTTGTTACTGATGTCTCTCTTTGTTACAGACCCTCTTCATTTACCCAAGTGTATACATAAAGGATCAAGAATATATATAAAAAAAAAGAATATAACCTTTGAGTCCTTCATCACCAAAAGGTCAGGGAAAAAGTCAGTATAGGAGGTCTAGGTAGTGTAAAATATGAAATAAGTAAAATTAGGGGGTACTCTTTAATGAAAGTGCATTTAAAGTGCTTTAAGAATGATAGAGGATCAATTATTACACATGTTGCTGAGATCAAGTAAGATAAGGGATATCATGATAGAAACCATTAAGAACCATGAAAAAAAAATTGTCAATGGAGTAGTAAAAGACGAGAACCTAACTGGAGAAGGTTAATAAAAAAGAACAGTGAAAATGTTACAGCAGTTAGTATGAGTAAATACCTGGCTAAAAGAAGTTTTTAATGAAAGAAAAATGGGGTAGAAAGTGCTGAGGACAGTGGAACAAGGGACAATGGAAGATAGTATGGATGTTTTTAAAAGATGATAGAAAATATTACAAGTAAGCAAGGAATAAGTAGAAGCATTATCCTTAGTATCAAAGACAGATGCCCTCTGGTACTAAGATGTAAATTATGGTAGTTAAGTATGAGAAAATAGGTAATATTCTTTTCCAGGTGCTTTCTTAGTATTTTCCCCCAGTGATATTAGAAGCATATTAATAAAGTCAGCTGAGAATAAAGATGGAAAGGATGAAAGAATTAGAAAGTCAAAGAATTCATAACTGTCCCTTATAAACAAAACCAGAAAGCACTTTCCCATTAAAACAAGAAAGAAAAAGCAAACAAACAGATCCCACGTTAGCATTTATGTCAGTTTTACCTGCTGGGCAAGCAATTTTGGAGGTGGTGGTAGGTGTGAAGATGGTCCACGGTCCTATTACAAAAAAAGAAAAAGACAGTAAAAAATAATCAGATAACCAAAAAGATATCTGTCGAAGTTATTTTTGAATGTTACATTTTTCAATGAAAAAATGTTCTTTTCTTAATAGAAGGCATAAAAGCAAGGTACTTTTTTTGGTTTTTTAAAAATACTCCCCCCCAATCAATTTACTATTTAAGTAAAAGTAGAATTTCAAGGGTACTTTGCACACAACAGAATTCTGTACTGGTTCTGGAATTCCAAGAAATTTTTGTCTGAGAGAGGAATGCCTCATTGAATTACTTTATTAGTAAGCAAAGTTGTTACCAGAAATGTGAGATTTATTAAAAGAAGATAATTTAAATATATACAAGATACAATACATAGAATGTTCACTTGTTAATATAAAAACCACTATGCACACAAACAAAAAATCAGAACATTATATACTCTATTCTCTCACAGAAAGAAATTCTTCAAGTTAGTAGGAATCTTAGTGGTACAGGATCAAGTACTTGGCTGCTCATGAAAGTCAGCTGTTCAAACACACCAGCTCCACAAAAGACAAAAAGAAAGGTGTAGCAGTCTGCATTTATAAAAATTTACACCCTGTAAGATAGTTCTACTTTGTCCAATAGTGTCACTATAAGCCAGAACTTATTAGAATGCAAAAGGTTTTTTCCTTTGATTTTTAATTATGTAAAAAAACAAAACAAAACATTGATTTTATGATATATTATTTGAAAATTCCTTCTTTGTAGAGTTTTACTTTTTTCCCCCATTGGCTTACCAACGCCTTAGGGATAAAATCTGAAATTTTCCATACAGCACTGGTTTTTAGTTAGCTCTCCTAACCATTTTTTAATGCTAAACTACTTAACTGAATTTCTTGAAAGTCATACTTTCTTACATTTAGTGAATCAGCACTTCTTGGAATGATTCTCTTTACTTTGTTTACAGGTTAATTTCTGCTTATTGGGTTTTTTCCCCCTTCACTAGACACTCTCCTTTTAGTGCCCAGTAGGAATAGGTTCCACAATCTGCTTTGTAGGAATTCAACATATGTATAATATGACGCCTTAAAATGAGTCTCTTAACAGAAGCCCATAGGGCACTTCAGAAATGTTAGTATAAGATTAGAAAGAAAATGTCATTCCTTTATTATGACTCAGTGGTTATAAGAAAAAGTGTAAGTTTTGGTTTCCATGTTGATAATTCTTATTAAGATGCAAAAAAGGGGAGTCGGGGAGGCTTAGGGGTAAAGAACTGGGTTGCCAATCCAAAGGCAAGCAGTTTGACCTATTGGCTGCTCTGCGGAAGAAAGATGAGCAATCTCTTCCAGTGCAATTTACTGTCCCTGAAAACTCATGGGAGGGCCAGTTACAACTATGAACTGATTCTGACTTGATGGTTCATAAAAACAACATGCTGAAAAAACTCAAAATAAAAAAAAATTCCAAACTTCCCCCCACACAAAAAAAATCAATACACCCCCCCAACAGAATGATCACAGTTCAGATCCATAGTCATCCAAGAAAAGAAAACTATGTCCCTTTCCAACTCTATGTTTAGAGAGTTCGTTCTCACATCCATAGCATCGTCAATGATAAAGATCTCTATTGATTCCAACAAACCTGATTAAATGGAGGACCTTTCCCATAGGGACCTTTTGCCGCTGGTGGCTGGGCAGGTGTCTGAGAAGATGATTTCGTGCTGCTAACCTCATCTGCTTCTTTTCGGCTTTCAGTGTTTTCAGAGGATTTTGAACCTTGATCTTCACTGAAGAATTAAAATTCAGGGAAAACAGAAAAATGAGCTATATCAGAAGTAAATGCAAGTTTTATCAGTGGGGGAAAATAAATGTCCATGTGGTTAGAGGGAAAATATGCATAACAGAATGTGTTTTTTATGATCTCGTGCAATCAAGTTCCTTTACTCAACATAGTCTATATTTATGATGTACTGGGAATGAGGCTTAGCCAGTTTATTATCAGTAGGCATAAAATATAATACAGTAACCATCAAATCTGAGCATTCATACTTTACTCACAACCTGGCAAAGGAATACAATTCCACTATTTTCACAGGACCAGATCTTTAGAACAAAAGTTCCTCTGGTTCAACAGCTAATAAGTGTTTCCTCTTTCAAGTGAAACAAACAAACAAACAAAAAACAAAAAACAAAAAAAAAAACACCAGGCATCAACTAATCAAGAAGGAGTAGCATATCACAATGCTATGCATGTTAACACTTACATATTAAATAAAAAATCAACGGTCCATTTCTTTAGGTCTTAACAGGTAAAGCATAGAAAAATCAAAACATGAAGCAGATGTAACTCAAGAAATTACTCTCTACTTTTGTAAACATAGGGTGCTCTGGTGATATAGTTAATAAGAAATTGTGTTGCTAATAACGAAGGCTATCTCCTCCTGTGTAATACAGAACCTCTAAACCCACTAAAGGGTAGCTTTGAGTCGATTTAGATGCAATGGCAGTAGGTGAGTAAATATTTGAAAATGTGGATCAAGTTCTGTGTGTTTTAAATAGTCTCAAACACTAACTTTGAAAATATCTCTCATTAGAGTTGAAGCTTTTAAATGAAAGATATAAAAAATCATTTACCTGCTATTTTCTTTAGGACTAGTACTTCCTTGTTCATCGTCATCACTGAAATTCAACTGTTCTGTATAATCCACTTCCATCTGAGCACCTATTAAATTAAAGAAAACTCAGATTGACTGCATAACCATTTTTAAAATCTAAAAGCATCTAATTAAATTTGTTCCTTACCTGCCCAACCCTCATCAGCTTCGGCATCTAGGTTATCAAATTTATCAAGTTCTTTGAGTTCTGATGCACTAAGGATGGAGGGACGTTCAGGTTCAGAAGCCCATGAAGGAGGTGGGCCTCGTCCTCGAAGGCTTCTAGTAAATGGGAAGTTACAGGATAAAATGCTTTAATAACATTATACTATAGGAATATTAAAAGCCTGGAATTTAGCTCATTTCAATTAAAAATTGTTTCCTATACAAGATAATAATAATTACAAAAATCTTAAGTAACCAAGTTTTAAAGAAATGTAAACATTATTGAAGACTAATCTTGAAAAATTTAACTGAGTTAAAAAAATTCTTCTAAAAGAGATGCAAATCAAAACACCTATGAGATGTCACCTCACCCCAGTAAGAATAGCAAAATTCAACAGAGCAGCAAATAACAAATATTGGTGAGGTTGTGGAGAAACTGGAACCCTTTTTCGCTGTTGGCAGGAATATCAAATGGTTCAACTACTCTGGAAGGCAGTATGGTGCTTTCTCAAAAAGTTGCAAATAGAAATACCATTTGACCCAGCAATTCCACTACTGGGAAAACATCCTAAAAAAATCATAACTGCCACCTAAAACACATATATGCACACCCATGTTTATTGCCACACTGTTCACAATAGCAAAGAGATAGAAACAACTCAAGTGGCCATCAACAAACGAATGGATAGGCATGCTGTAGTATATTCACATAATGGAATACTATGCAATACTGAAAAACAAGGAACTCATATTATACAAAATGGGTGACCCTGGAGGACTTTATGCTTAGTGAAATATCTTAATCACAAAAGGACAAATACCACATAATGTCACTGTTATAAAACAACTGACATGGGGGATGGGGGAAAACTAAGAAAAGAGGGGTTAAATAATGTACACTGAATTGAAACAGATGAGGAATACAACTGCTTAGGAATATATGATTAGGTATTATTTGCATGACAACAGTCCAGACTAAAAGCTGCATAGTAAACTGGACTGGAGGTAGGGATTGTACATTTAAAGAATTCTTTTCAAAGAGAAAAGAGAAGGAGGGGAGAGGGGCCAGGAAAGAAAATGTGCAACAATGACTTGAAATCCAAGTTCTCTAAAAACTTTCATTAAAATAAAAAAAATTTTTTTAAAAATCATGCAAGCTATTATAGATGATTAGAGAAACAGTGATTTTTCAGATTCATAATTTTCACTTTCAAGAATTTCATGTCAAATTAGGAAAAGGAAGTGTTTATGTTGTTTTATAAGTCAATCATTAGTTAACAACAAAACTGTTACTTTGAGAACAAAGATGAAACAAATACTATAACCTACTTAATAGCAAAAAAAATTTTAATTAGTAGACACAAATATAAGCTTTGCAGACTTCATAATTTAAGTCTTACTTGTTTGCTTCAGATAAAGAAGGTGGGAATCTCATAGGACCATGTACAGAAGGAGGATATGCCATTCTTGGATACTGCTGAAACATCTAGACAGATGAAGGAAACAAAAATGTAATAAAAACAAATAAATAAAACTAAAATAAAAATAAAAAAGCTAAAATTAAAAAAATATTCATTTCTCAACCAGAAGTTAGAATTTACAAAAAGAATCACTAAAATAAATTATTAGTGTATTAGTAATTAGTAGGTGTACTAGTAATTCTATCTGATGGTATACTGCATCAACCACTTTCAATAGTAATTCATTTATAAGATTGAGTATTTACTTATAGTAAATCAGGCAGATTATACGAAGAATGTTTTTCCAGTGCAACCACTGTGAAAGGCAGTATGGCTCTCTCTTTAAAAAGTTGCAAATAGAGATACCATTTGACACAGCAATTCCACTCCTGGGAATATACCCCAAAGAGATAACTGTCATCCCAGCAGATATATGCACACGCATGTTTATCACGGCTTTGTTCACAATAGAAAGGAGTTGGAAATAACCTAAGTGCCCATTAACAAACGAATGGCTAGAGAAGCTGTGGTATATTCACACAATGGAATACTATGCTGCTGCTTTGAAAAACAAGGAACTCATGCAATATTATTCCAAATTGGTGACCCTGGAGGACATTATGCTGAGTGAAATATCTCCGTCACAAAAGGACAAATACTGCATGGTGTCACTGTTGTAGAATGAGGCTGACATCAGGGTGGGACTAATTCTGAGAAAAAATGGATAAATTATGTATACTGCATTGAAGCCGATGAGGGAGAGAACAATTTTAAAAGAATATATTTTAGAGCATTATGATTATCATAAAAGTTTGGAATGAGGGTTGCAGAGTGGAGTATACTCGGAGTGAGGGTGAGAGGGTGCGGGGGGGATTGTATATCAATGAAGGAGTTTTTCTTTTGCTTTTAAAGAAGAGTGAACTGGGGGTGGGGGTGGAGTGGGCAGGGAGAAAAGTCCAACAATGAATGGAAATCCACAATCTCTGTAAACGTTCATTGAAATGAATAGTAATAAAAATAGCTGTATATAAAAAAAGAATGTTTTCCCATTAATTATAAAATCATAATTAAAAGACATATAATGAACGAAAAAAATAAGAAGAAAACCTACACAAATTAAGAATTAGTTAGAATACAATGTGGACTTTTATCTACAGAAAATGGTAGTTGTATTGTACTCAGCTCAGATAAAAATAAAAAATACTCATTCCATAACCAAAGGGACAGAGGTCCAGTAGGGAGCTACTGGAAATTATCTAGAGGCAAAGTTTAGGGGGATTCTGACTCAAATTATCATACAGGTAAGAATTACAAACTAAGAGTGGTCTAAAGTGTAAGGAGTTGCACTGCCAACCCAATGGCAGGCAGTTTGAACCTCCTGCTTTGTAGGAGAAAGATGGGCAATCTTCTCCTGTGATTTACAGCCTCAGAAAATTTGCTGGAGGGTCAGCCACGAGTCAGTTCTGACTCAATGGCACAGAGATGAGAAAAGGCCCAAATAAGTTAGGATGATGCTCTCGTCTTTGACCTGACTTTGAGAAACTAAGGGGAAAGATAAAAAGATTATCAAGTAATAATACCAAGGAATTACAATGGAAAAGAATCAAGGAGACTTGATTATTTACTATATTTTTGATAGCAAAGCCTAGTTAGTTAAATATATGAAATTGTATTATTTTAGATCCATAATTTATATGTGAAACATAAGATTTTTCTAAACCCAAAATCTTTTCCAACTGAGGAAATTATTTTATTACCTTATTATTATTACTACCTTATATATAACCACACACACTACCTTTTAAATGATTAAGCTTTCTAATTTACGAAGAAATTTCTTATGCGGGGTTAAGAAGTTAATTAAGGAGAAACTGGGTAAGCTTTGAGTTTAGGCAACATTCTGGAGAATTTCAAGTTTTATTCCACTTCTGTAAGAAAATTAGTAAACACACTACTAGAGGTAGGTTTATAACTAGTGTTCAAACCATCTGCTGATAATCTTAATTTCACAGGACTTTAAATGGTTAAAATTTAAGAATGTGTCACAAACCTAATTTTAGAAACTATCTTTATTCTCTGATACAGTGGTTGAGAATTTCTGTTATTAATATATCTTATTCCAAACTGGTTTTTTCACGCTCCTGAAATAATTTTTTAAAAGCTATCATTTAACAAACACATGTGTTTTATTTCTTTCCTCTATCTTTGTATATTTACACTCTAATAGTGTAAAACGACATAAGGAAGAGAAAAGATGATCCTAGAAAAAGAATAGTTCAGAGTTAAAGAAAACATGATACAGCAGCTTTTTGGAATTTCCTTGGCTTCACAGCAGTTAAAGTGTTTGCCTGCTAACAGAAAGGTCAGCAGTTTAAACCAAGAAGTGTCCTAGTCTGCAGGTGAACAACCTGTTATTCTGTTTCCTTAAAGAGCAAAAGCTGTTGCCTTGGGATTGGATCCAATTAATAGTGACCCTATGAGTTTTACAAAGTAAAAACTACCCAATAGGGTTTCTAAAGCTGGAATTTTTATTGAGTGTCAGTCTCTTCTTTCTGCTAGAAAAAGATGACTAACCTTGCATTTTACAGCCAAATGCTAGAACTACTGCACCAGCAAGGATCCTCTTAAAGAATATAACCTTAAAAACCTCTCTTACAGGGTTGTGATGAATGGGAATTGACTCAGTGGTTAGTGTTATAGAGTCTCCCTATCTATGAACTGAATTGTCTTCTGAAATACAAGTTTATTTAACTGATGCATCCAACTTTCCCTTTGACTTTATAATAGGTTGAATGTAAACAAATGAATAAAGGCACAGATCTAATTATGAATTTATGTAGAACATACAGAGGCCTGATAAATATACTATTAAATGATATTGTAAATATAGAATCAAAACTATGAGACGCTATACAGAGTATGTTTAAACTATAAAGGGAAAAAAAAGATGCACAGATGTGCTCATAGATAGCACGATTCTTAAGATTATCTACCAATCTCAGTAAGCATTTGGATCCTAACTATAAAAAAATCAGAATAATTAAAATACTGAAATAATATTTGAACACATTAAAGATCAATTTCCTCTTAGTTATAATGGCATTACAGGTAGGTTTCTATTTGAAGTTCTTATCGTTCAGAAATGCAGCCTAAAATATTTACTGATGATACTCTGAAATACTCTGGGATTTGCTTTAATAAACCAACTTCCCCCACTTTGGGTTTTCTGGTGCTGCCAATCTTTACAGAAGGAGATTGCCTATCTTTCTTTCACAGAGTGTTTGGTGGATTCAAATTATTAACCTTTCAGTTAATAACAACTCAACAAGTTACATACTCTGTCACCAGACCTCCTTTCAAGAATACTAGAGGTGGGAGATAGGTGAGCAGCACTGACTATAAACTGGTTATTGTTGAAGCTGGATGGTAGAAGAGAGGTGGAAATTCATGTACTATTACCTCTATTAGTCTTAAATTTTCCATAATGGAAAGTTAAAATAAATTAAAAGTTTATTTAAAAAGATTTTATAAATAAGTGGTAGTCAAATAGCAGAATTTTTTACTTCCATGTTAAGAGACCAAAGTTTAATTTCTGGCCAAAGCAGTACATAGCCATCACTCATCTGCAAATGGAGGTTTAAATGTTACAATGCTCAACAGGTTTCAATGAAATTTTCAGACTGAAAAATGCCAGGAGGAAAGAAAAACTTGATAGTGGTGAACACTTTAGAATTAAGTGAGTATGTTTTTATCCTCACATTGTTTATACTACAGACAAAAATGATGATTCCGGATGCTTAATGACCTGATGTCAGAAAATTATTTTTAAATGTATTATCTAAAAACATACAGAAAATGAAAACAATTTCACTAATTTGTTAACACAAAATAAAAATGGGTTAGGTAATGTACCATGCCCTTCTTTATTAGGTTATTAATATAAGTGGGTCTTATGTGAGACCTGTTACCTAATAATTTTGATGTTGAACATAAACATTTTGCAGTATCTACAAGCATAAAATGTGAAAATGAAAACATTTATGACACTGATAAGTCAAGTCCTAAGCATTGCTAATATTCTTGTGATTTCTTCTATACTGTCATAATCAAAGAAAACGCTGATTCGATGACAATAAAGTCTTAAACGTGTCCTCATTTCAATTGTCTCCTTGGATCCCTGATTAAACTACCTCTTATTTAACTAGCTAGCTTCTTTAACAATACTTACATAAGAAGGCATCATAGTTCTATATTGTGAAGCAAGGGCAGGCTGCTGTCCATTCAGTTTGGTCTGTGGAGGACCACAAGCTATTCTCTTTTCCACCACTTTGAGGATATCATTTTGCTCTGAGGTTCCAGCTGTGTTCTCATCTTGGCCAGGAAGCTTTTCATCTTGATCAGATGGAGAAGGTGAACCAGCAGACTTACCACCATCTCTCCAACAAGCAACGTCTGATTTTTTTTAAAAAGTAGAAAAAAATAAATATAGATGCAACAGAGTGAAACCAAACCAGGTATATTTCAAGAATTTTGATACAAGCACAGAAAATGAACAATTCAAGTTTATCTAGAATTTGTCTTTGTATAATGCTTTCAAGGTACTTAGGTAGATGAGAACAGTTGCATCCAAAGCATAGAGCATAAACTTCAAGGGGCTACCACGATAGCAAGTGAGACGAAAATATATTCCCTGTCCATACATGGTCCATGTGATGAGATGCTTCAGGTAAAATATAACTACTTAAACCAGGAGAGTTGACCAGAAAACATTCTCTTCCCCAGGCTCAAAATAATTTAAATCAGCTGAGCCACAGCCAATGATGAAAAATAGGAATAGGTCCAAATATGTAAATGTAAATAGAGCAGAATGACAATAAGAATAACTACAAGAGTAAGTCTCAAAATGAGACTTGGAAGAGGCATTGCAAATTCTTTTTAGAATGCTATTATATTACTGATAGGATTGTGGAAAATGACATACATTGAAAGCAGCAAGGAGAGCTGCCATCTTTGAGGTGGGCACCACTGCTTCTGACTCAACTGGTTAAGAAATATGATTGCTATGAGGGAGCTCTTGTGGCCTAGTGGCAAGAAACTGCATTGCAATCAAAGGCACGCAGTTCGAATCCACCAGCTTCTGCACGGACTGAAAACCCACAAGAGGGTCAGTGTGGTTCAGTTCCAACTCGATGTACACAACAAATAACATGCAATGTGAACACTACTTGATTTCTAAAATGCAGAGAAGTTTCTAGCAAGGTGAAAATCTTTAATTTTTAACATTCTGGTCTACTCATATTTTACAAATTTAAGTTTGGTAGTCTGTTTTTATGTCATAACTAAACTGGGAGAACCTGTTAAAAGTACTGCCTTGCTTTCAATCTACTGTTGTTAGTTACAGATGAGATTTCTTGATTTTATTACCTGGTTTAACTACACTGAAGTGGTTGTTTTGCAATGACATCCTGCATGACAACCCACCTTCAGCACAACCTCTAACAATTTCAGTCCAAACTTTGTGTAGTTTCTAACAGCAATGAACTAGGGCTGATCAGTGTAACTTTTAGAAGACGGCACAGGTAATAGCAAGTCTCTACTAAAGTTCATTGCCTTTGAGTCGAGCACATCTCATACCAATCCTATGAACAAAAGCCGTGAAGCCCCTCTACAACTACTGACATTTATCAAAGTTCACAGAGTTCCCAGAGGCATGTTATTTAGGAAGTGGACGCCACTCCTGCTTCCAAACCTGTCACAGCATGTTGCTGTTATGTGCCATTGAGTCACCTGTGATGTACAGCAGCTCTGAACTCTTCCCTGTCCTGAGCCAGTCTCACTAACTCTGACACACGAACCCCCAACACCCCAGTCATTTTATCAATCCATCTCATCTGGGGTCTCCTTCTCCTGCGACATCCACCCTTCTGAGCATGATGTCCTTTTCCAAGGACTGATCTCTCCTAGCCACATGCCCAAAGTAAGTAAGACAGAACTTCAAAATCCTAGCCTCCAAGGAGAGACTTGGTTTCACCCTCTCCAAGATGAACCGATGTGTTTTCTTGGCAGCCCGTGGTATGTTCAAGATTCTTCTCCAGCACAACTAGGGGCTCCCATATTGTGTGGGGGATGTTTCTCACCACTTAGTTGGAGGAATTCATACTGTGAGAAGCCCAACTGTGAGAACTACATACTTAGCCAACAGCCATGTGAGTCTTCCCTTCCCAATCAGGTCAGCCTTACATGACAGCTTTGTTGTAACCCTGTGACAAAAATCCCTGAACCAGAACTCCAGAGCAAAGGGACTCTCAGATTTGTGACCCTTAGACTCTGTGAGATCATAAACTCAGTAATAGGTTGTTTAAGCTACTACATCTATTATGCATCAATAACTAATAAATCTGGTGAAAATGCAATGAACAATAGTTGGGCTGACATTATCTACTACTAACACAATGATCTCAACATTGTATGTATTATGACCATAAAATTTTTTTCAAAAAATCTACTCAGATCTGACAAGAAATCAACTAAAAGAAATCTATCAAGATTGTTAGTGTTAGCTTGTCTTTCAAACTAGTCAAGCTATATGTACAACTGTAACAAGCCAGAGGTTATAATATCTTAAGATAAAATACAAATGTAACAATTCTATTATTTTTATTATACAGAAAGCAGTCTTACTTGGTGGGCGTAAACTAGGTCCAGGGCCATAGTTCTCATCATTTGATTCTTTTTCTTTTTTTTCCTGATCCCCAGCTGCCTGTAGACTGGGAAATTCTTGCTGAAAATGACTGTTCACTTGGATTCCTAGAGATGTTAGAAAATATTATTAATTCTAAGCTTAATACTAAATATAATGAAAACAACCTCCAGGACACAATTATCTGCCTTTTGGGGGCAAATTTATCCCCTGTGCAACATCTTAGTACTTTTATGCCTCTAAGAGTTGAAGTTGTATAAGGCTTTGTCTGGATATGTAGAGGTTACAATAATGTGGAAAGATGGGTATCAGAATAAAGACTTTAGATTCTTTAAAAAACCTCTGATCATTGCCTCATTCATGTGTCCTGACAATGGAATGCTAAATTAGCACAAAAAATTGAAAAGCTACCTCTTCTTAGAGCATATGTAAGTCCTTACGGCAAATTTCAAAGACCCTGCAATAGGTTAGGGTCATCACTTATCTCCTGTATGGGCTGTTCAGTAACTATCAAGCCTAACCAATTTCCGTAGCAAATGTTCACTTACCATCTCCTTGCCCACCTTGCTTGTTACTGGCCCATGATTTGGGAACAGGTGCTACTTCTGGGGGAGCTGCAACACCAGGTTTTGGCTGTGTTGGTGGCACTTCTGGTGTTCTTTAAAAAAAAAAAGTGAATCTATTGTTTCAGATATTACAAGTTAAAATATAAACATCATACTTTAGATAAACCCATGTACAAATTATTTTGCCTACATATTTACTCATAAATACATTCCCTACAAATTATTTTCTCCCTGCATAATTTCTTTAAATTAATTATGGTTATTTTTGCTTCCTTTCACCTCAATCTTTGAATGACAACCAAGAAACAGAAAATAAGATGGCTTCTCCACTCATTATATAAAACATACAAAATCCTTTGAACATAACAACCAGAAAATGTTAAATGATCCCGGAAGTATTAAAAAAAGATGGAAGGAATATACTGAGTCATTGTATCGAAAGGAATTGGAAGACACAGAAGAATTTCATGAAACAACATATGAGCAAGAGCCTATGGTGATGAAAGTAGAGGTTCAGGCTGCTTTGAAGGACATGGCCAAAAATAAGGCTCCAGGAATAGATGGTATACAAATTGATATATTTCAGTTAACAGATGCTGCCCTGGACGTGCTCACCAAGTTGTGCCAAGAAATCTGGAGAACGACCACTTGGCCAACTGACTGGAAGAGATCGATATTTGTTCCTATCCCAAAGAAAGGCGACCCAACCGAATGTGGAAACTACAGAACAATTTCACTGATTTCACATGCAAGCAAGATTTTACTGAAAATTATCCAAAACCGACTGGAACAGCACATCAACAGAGAACTACCAGAAGTTCAGGCTGGTTGCAGAACAGGTCGTGGTACTAGAGATATTGTAGCTGATGTTAGATGGATCTTGGCTGAAAGCAGGGAATACCAGAGGAATGTCTATCTGTGTTTCATTGACTATGCAAAGGCATTTGACTGTGTAGATCATAACAAACTGTGGCTGACTCTGAGAAGAATGGGAATCTCAGAACACTTGATCGTTCTAATGCGAAACTTATACTTGGACCAGGAGGTAGTCGTCAGAACAGAGCAAGGAAACACTGCATGGTTCAAAATTGGGAAGAGCGTACGCCAGGGATGCATCCTATCTCCATACCTTTTCAACCTATATGCAGAACAGATTATCCGGGAGGCTGGGCTCTATGAGGAGAAATGTGGGGTCAGGATTGGTGGACGATTTATCAACAATCTGCGTTATGCGGATGACACAACCCTGCTTGCTGAAACTGAGGAGGACATGAAGCACCTGCTGCAGAGTGTCAGGGACTGCAGCCTACAATATGGATTGAGGCTCAATGTCAAGAAGACAAAGATTCTCACCACTGGGCCAATTGGCAGCATCAGGATGGATGGTGAAGAGACTGAGATTGTACACAGCTTTAGTTTGCTTGGCTCCATAGTCAACAGTCTTGGCACCAGCAGCCAGGAAATTAAAAGGCGCATTGCCATGGGAAAGTCTGCTGTTAGGGACCTCTCCAAAGTGCTGAAGAGCAGTGGTGTCTCTCTGGAGACTAAGGTGCGTCTGATACAGGCCATAGTCTTCGCAATCACCTGTTATGCATCAGAGAGTTGGACAATGACCAAGGAGGATAGAAGGAGAACTGATGCCTTTGAGCTGTGGTGCTGGAGAAGAGTACTGAGAATACCATGGACTGCTAGGAAAACAAACAGATTCATCCTGGAAAGGGTTAAACCAGGTGGCTCCTTGGAGGCAAGGATTCTGAGGCTCCGTCTAACTTACTTTGGACATGTAGTGAGGAGAGACCGGTCCTTGGAGAGGGACATCATGCTTGGGAGGGTGGAGGGACGGTGAAGGAGAGGAAGGCCCTCTATGAGGTGGATTGATTCAGTGACTGGGATAATTGGGATGGGAGTGTCAGAGACAGTACGATTGGCACAGGACAGAGCACAGTTTAGGGCTGTTGTACATAGCGTCGCCATGAGTCGCAGGCGACTCGACGGCACATAACAGCAACAACAACAACAAACATTTATCACAAAAACAACATATGTATATATACAGGCTAGACTTGTAGAACTAGCCAATGGTTAATAAGGCTAAATAAGCTCTCAAATTGACAGTCAGCAGCTTCACCATTGTTCTTAAAGTTTTATTAAAATAGGTAATAGCAGTCTGCCTGATCTATTCCTTGATAAAAAGAACTAAAAAAAAAAAAATTTTAAAAAAAGAAAAAAAATCTACAGTATAGTCAATCCTTGTAATGAGAGAATACTTAAAAGGAAAAGGAACGAAGAAACTTAAATGCAATGTGTTCTTAAAACTTTCAGACCTATACTAACTGACTTCTATTTAAAAAATAAACGTACAGTTAACAAGCAGAGAATACAAAGTCCTTAATAAGCTTTTAAGGAACTTATTACATAAAGATCCTTAAATATGAGTACAGGTAAGACATTAAGAAAGCAACGACTTGTATATTAAAAACTGTTAGTACTTAGCTGTGCCATTCTATTGACTCAAAGAATCTGGAAAAATGCTTCACACATAGAAAGTATTTGTTGGTTGAATAATGATTAAGAAGACACTATTAATTATATTATTGTCTAGGAACTGAATTTCCCATAGACTATCAAAAGAACAAACAGGTATGTCTTGGGGGAGGAGAAGGTGGAGCCAGAGAGCTCCCTGGAGGCAAAGATGAAGACTGTCAACAAGATAGACTGACAGAGTAACTGCAGCAATGGGCTTGAGATTGTGAGGATGGCAAAATACTCGGGGACTGTGAGGACGGCATAGGATAGGGTACGATCAGATATGCTGTTCACAGAATTGCTATGATTTGTACTTGACTTGATGACACCTAAAAACATTAACTGTATATAATTTTTCTTTACTCATGCAATAACCGGAACACCTACTATGCCTTAGGCAGAGGTTCAAAATTAGAGATATAATAATGAACAAATGCTGTTGATTGCTTTGAAGTCAAGCATGACTCATAGCGACCCTATGAACAAGACCTGAAGTCAATTATCGTTTCTCCAAGTTCATAGTTTCCAGAGGCATGTTCTTTAGGAAGTGGATGTCACCGCTGCTTCCAAACCTGTCCTGAACTGGGAGCTCCACCAAACACTGTCTACCATGGATAACTGTTATGGTATCTGACACGCTAATGGTTCAAGGTGCAACATCACAGCAACCCCAGGTACCTCAGTATAGCATATTGACAGAAGAATGCTGTACCACTCAGAAGAATGTTCCTCCAAAATATAATAACAACTGACTTTTAAATACAAAGGCCCTCCACAAGGTCTTGCTGACTCTAAACAAGAGGCTTAAATAAATTAAAAACAAAAAACAAAAAAAAACCCACACCAACCAATATGAACAAATAGATTAAAAAAAAAATCCTTTTAAGGTACTTGGGAGGCTGAGTGAACTAACTAGTCCCTAAGGACAAATGCTGTATGAGACTGTTATTGTAGAAACAGAAAGATAACTAATAAAACTTGTACAAGGATCCAAGGGAGGGGAGGGGAGGAGCAGAGAGGTGAGGATGGGCAGGGGTGGGTAAAGAAAATGGAAAAGATCTGGCAGGGATCTGGAAAGACAGGGAAATGGTGGGATTAGTTCAGGGTTGAGTAATTTTATAAAATATAATGAATCAGAATGATTGTATGAAAAACAATGTGAATGACAGTGTGAAACACAATGTATACAAAAGCAAATAAAAAAAAATCCTCGTCAATATGAAGCTTACTCAGCAGAATCCAATCAATCACGGTAAAGGGACATTATCTGTTTTAATATGGGTGTGAGTGGGTTAGCAGACAGAATGACAAAAGCAATGACAGAAGAAAAACATAAGCAATTTGGTTAACTGCTCTACCTGGACTAACAGAATTATGAGCTAAAAAATCACTCCTCTTAAGGAAAAGTGAATCAAAAGTCAATTCTAAAACCCAAGCTTTAAAGGACATGGGATACCTAACACATTCAGCACACTACTTTAGTGCTGTCAATACACAGTAGGTATTTAATTCCTAGAAAAAGAGGGGAAATTATTTTATATATTTTGACTTACTTTTCTTCTTCATGCTGTTCTTGTTTTGATGCCCATCCTGTGCCATCTTTAGGTACAATGTTCACATTAGGATCATTGCCTTTGTTTTCCGCTTTAAGACTTGGGAGATTAGCAGGTGGGGGCATACGCCGAGAAATGCCAACTTTTCCAAGACTCTGTAATCCATGTCGAGCTGCAACTAAAGATCAATAACATCAACCTTCTAAGAACATCTATTACATTACCCATTTTATTCTTCAGTTAATAGAGAATTATGAATAATAGCATCAATAATTAATAAGAAATGGAAACTGAACTATACATAAGCAATATATCCAATATATAAAATTTAAAAGAAACAATCAAATATCAAACAGAGGTTTTAAAAATTCTAAAAGTCGAACCCAACATACGATGAGAAACTGAACAATTGAGAAGGTTAGCTTTGAAAAGGTTTTAGGCAAACTATTTCAAAGTCTAACTTAGAATGTCTAAGAGTAGTGAGGTGAATTCATGTTTATAAGTACTAGTGCATCAAACATGACTCAGTGTTCATTTTTATTATATACATTAATTTCAAAGAAACTAAATAAAAACCCCAGGACTCTCTATTACATTATAATAGAAATACCAAAACATGTAGTAGCTCTGGGTCCATCAATCTCACTGACCGTGTCCCTGGGGAATGATACATTTTGCTTATTTTCCACTATGTGACAAAGAACAGAGCGGGGGGGGGGGGGGGGGGGG